CAGGAGACCCTGTGCATGACTACAAGTCCCACAACAGACCATCTTTTTCTTCATTCTTTCAGCTCTGATTTAAGCTAGCTTCCTTCAAGATGGCAAAGACCTTCAGATATGGCTACTACCCACTGAGGACAGGGATCATCAGGGCCAGTGATGCTGCCAACTTCAACTGCTGTGTGTGGAGTCTTTTCTGCTAAACCCCACTGTTCCCTTTTACACTGCTTCCAGGAAACACACAAGGCCACACCCTAACCTCACTGGCTCTCTTGTAGCACGGAATACTATTCAAAGGGCTTATCGCCCCATTTTCCAGATGGAGAAGTTGAGGCTCTGAGCCAAAAGGAGTTTTTCTTCCAAATCTGTCCAGAATTTGCTTGTAAATATTCTAAAAGGAAGCCTCGGCCTTTTTATCTGAGTCTTTCCAGGCATATTAAATGCTTGGTTGGGGCTGGTTTGTTCTGAATTCTCCTCAGACCCTGCAGTCCTACAAACTACAGCCAGTGTTGTGATCTCTTCCTGCCTCTCTGTCTTGCCTCAGCTCTTGTGCCAGGGCCAAGCCACTTTCGATCTCTTCCAAACCACCCTCAGTTAACCGCAGGAACCCACAGGGGACCCACAGGTGGGACCCCAGGATGGAAGCTGTGGGGCAGAATGGGTGAGAAGAACCAATGCAATACAACCATGAGAGAGCCAGGGATGTGGGGAGTGTGGCTCAATGGCAGACAGGCTGGGGGTGGCACACTTGGGGGTGAGGTGTGGGGGGGTGTCATGCAGAGCACTCCGTCCTTTCACATTACCCCCATCCCTCTTCAGCACATTTTTTCCCTTTCTGAAAATATTCTTTAAACAAAGAGGTCTTTGCTTCTGGAAGGTCTGACCTGGTCCAAGCAGATCCCAAATGCTAGAAGAAAGCTGTTGTTTTGACCAAGCATATTGGTGGTGGGTGAAAGAACTCACAAGGGTTGTCAGGAACTGGCCTTGATGAGCACTCTGGAGGCCAGCAGATGCCATAGACTCAGGGATGCTGGTCCCACCAGTCTGGTCAGACTTCAGGACTGGGGCCAGGGGCAGCTGGAACATCTCACGCCCCATGGTGGGGGTGGAGGTGTGCCATGGATTTGGGAATGGGCCTTAGTTCCTTTTGAGACATTGGTGTAGGAGAGAATGCTGTCCTATTAAAAGGGGCAAGGCAGGGAGAGACAGGGAAGGGGAAGAGATCTATGATTCCAGGTGAATTCCAGGCTCTGACACGCTCCGGAGTACCAGTGTGGTCCCAGCTCAAAGAGAATGGGGTGGAAGGGACAGGCTGGCTGCTGGGGACAGAGCCATCACCTCACCATCTTCTGTCTTTTGTCTGAGTTAGGCGGCCTGTTGAGGGTGCTGGGTTGTGCTGTTCAAGGAGGTGTGTAGTTCTCAGCAGTCATGTGTGTGTGTGTGTGTGTGTGTGTGTGTGTGTGTGTGTGTGTGTGTGTAGAGACAGAGGGAGGGAAGGAGAGCACTCATGTGTCTTGGTCTGTGTTGAGCTCCTAGGTTTCTGTATGTGTAGGGGTATCTAAGTGAACCCACTCTGTGGGTTTCTCAGGAAGATGGGTGGGGAGGGTGTGTCTATTAGGGATGGGATTCAGCATTATCTTTTGGGAAGTCCTTAGTGTTTATTTCTTCAGGAAGCTGGGGTCTAGATGGGTCAAAGTCAGCAACAGTGTCTGGTCCTCTCAGAAGACCTAGAAGTGATTTTTTTGAAATTTATCTTATTTTATTTTTTTAGTGGTGCCCTTGAACCTGAGGGGTGCCAAGTGAGCAGGCTGAGCTGATGTCTGTGGATTCGGCTGGGAATCTTCCCATTTAAGAGGCGAGGCATGGGTTTCTGTTGGGTCACAAGGAGAGAGTACAGGGCCCTGAGCTTGGTCTCCTTGGAGAGGTGCAGGCCAGACGCAGAAGATAGGAACCCAAGAGAGGGGTTGAGAGAGACGTAAATGCAAGAGATGTGCAGATGGGAGGGGTCCTGGGACGGGTTGTGGACTGGAAGGGTATGCTAGTGTGTGTGTGTGTGGGGGGGGGGGGGCTGCAGACGGGGGATGGGGAAACTCTGGGCAGGCTCCTAGGGAGGGGTCCTGGGAAAGATGTACAGAGGTCCCGAGCCTGGGGCGGGGGGCGTCACGAGGAAGAGACATGAGGTCCTAGAAGCCCTGGAAGTGATCCTGGGGGGATCGGGAACGAGGGTGGGCGGAGGCCGGAGTTCCAGGGTCCAGCGCTGGGAATGCCGAGGCTCCAAGCGCGGGCTCGGGAGGCGAGGCGACCCCAGGTCACGCTCCTGGCTCGGCTTCCCCACGGGGCCCCGCAGCACTGACACCCCCCGGGAGAAGAGGCCCTGCCCGAGGCCGCCCTACCTGCGCGGAGAGCGCCGCCATCGCCGCGCCGAGCCTCGCCGTCCCTGCACTGCGTCGTCCGCTTCCCCCGCCCGTGGTCGCGACTGCTCGGGGGTCCCGCAAACCCCGCGGCCCGGCCCCTTTCACTCAGCCGCCCCCGGGGACCGCAGCCGTCACCGGCTCAGCCGCTGCCATTTCACCCGCTGACAGGAGCCGCTGCCCCGCCCCCCCGAAGCCCGGTCAACCAATTCACCGCCCCCTTAGGCCATTGGCTCCGCCCCCTGCGAAAGAGTGACAGGAGAGCTGACCAATCCACAGCTCGTCCATGAGGCGGGCCCTGGCTACGGCTCTCTGAGGAGAGGAGCGAATTGAAATGAGAGAATCTGTGATAGACGCATGGTTTTGCTTATCAAAATAAGGAAAGGTATTGATCGACACCTAAACTACCAATAGTTATTGGTAAGAGGTGGGCCTCTGGAGGAAGGATGCGGCCTTGAGCAACCCTTAGCTGAGGCACGAAGTCCCACCCCGAGCCTGATTTCTACCCAATCATGAGAGGGGCTGAGCCGTCCATTATTATCTGCCCCTCAAACCTCGGGCCTGGCAACTGTTGAGACGGGAGGGGGTGTGCTATGAAGATTGACATCTAGTCAGCCAATGAAACTGACGGAGGGCGGACTCTTATGGCATCTGACCAATGGGAGTCATGAGACTGGGAATGAGTTTTGCGTCCTGGGCGGTGGGACTTGAGGCCAGGGTCTGAATGGAATGGAGGAGGGGCTAATGGAGGGGGCGTGTCCCAGTGCAAGGATAGGCGGGATCAGACAAGGGCCGGGCGTTAGAAGGGGCGTTACTGGAAAGCTTATCTTCAGAGCAGGGTCTGGCCGGCGGGCTGGGTGGTTAGGTCAGGTTCTGGCCCTGCTGGGTGAGTCTGGCATCAAAACTCCGATTGCATCCTCCACCTGCTCCAACATCACCCTTCAGGGGTGCGGGGAAGCGGGGCGCGAGGGGCCGGAGTGGGGAGGGAGTCAGGTTGGGAGCCGCTTACGTGAGAGCTGTTTGTAAACGCTTGAAGATCGAATGAATGGACCCATGATCGTTTTTGCCGCCGCCGCCTCCTCCTCCCGCTTCCGATTCCTTTTTTTTTTAAAATTTATTTTTTTATTTTGAGACAGAGTTTCCTGTAGACCAGGATGGTCTTGAACTTTTCCATGTAACAGGGGGTGACCTTGATCTCCCTATCTTCCCATCTCCACCTCCCCTTCACCACCATGACCAGACCCCAGATTCTTTTAGTGAGGACAAGGACCATGTATGCACCGTCATTGACAGCCGGCAAGACTTACTAAATGGATTACTCTAGGATGTGGGCATGGGCCTTGGACAGGGTGAGGCCGGGAAGATGTGTCATAGAAGGAAAGGTGACGTCATAGGTTCATCGGGGTGGTCTGGGATTCCACTGCTGGGGAGGCTGAGGCAGGAAGACTGCTGAGAGGTGTAGAACAGCCTGATTCACAAAATGAGTTCTAGAGCCGTCAGGGCTACAAGACAAGTTCCGCATGGTAGCCAAGGATTGGGAGACCCGAGGGAAAACAGAGGAGAGCCTATTCATAACAGGGAAGGTCAGGATTTCTTTTTGATCGTTGGAGTAACAGTTGACATTCACGAGGTCTTTAAATTTTTTTTTTAAATTTATTTTTGAGACAGGGTCTCACCACAGCCCAAGCTGGACTCCAACTCCCTGTGCAGCCGAGGCTGACATCGAACTCTGGGTTTTCTTACCTCAGCTTCCAGAGTGCAGGGATTACTGCTGTGTACCATGATACCTGGCTCACACATACTCTCTCCCTCTTTTATCTATATTGCACCCATTAAAGTTTTGAAGCTGTTAAGAAATCTCCTAAACTATTACTGAAAACTTGGTGGTAAAAATAAATCTAATGTATTCCTCCTCCCCTCTACATCCCTGTATTCCCTTCCTCCACTGAAAGAAATTCTACAGCCCGTCTGTATACATCAAGATGGAATCAGTCTCCTGCCGAGGATGTAGCTCAGCTGGTGAGGTGTCTACCTAGCGTGCATGCAGCCCTGCATTGGATGCTCAGCACTTTGTCAAAGAGATATGGTAGTCAACACCTGAAGTCCCCTAGCACAGGGGAGGTGAAGTCAGGAAGACAGAAGTTCAAGGTCGTCCTCAGCTACATAGTGACTCTGAGGCCAGTCTAGATTATCTGGAGCCATGTCTCAACAGGAAAGGGGCACCTGGACAGGTGGGTCAGGAGAGAACCTGAGTTCACTTCCTAGCACCCACATCTGCCCAGCACCCACATCTGGTGACTGACTGCCACCTGTAACTCTAGCTCTAGGGTATCCAATGCTTCTCTTGGCCTCTTAGTGCAGCAAATCAATTTTGAAAATAATTTAAATTTTCATTTTTATTTACTATTTATTAAATTTGAAAGATTTTTTAGTTCCATTTATGTGTGTGTGTGTGTGTGTGTGTGTGTGTGTGTGTGTGTGTGTGTCATCTGGAGGCCAGAAGAATTAATTGGGTCCTCTGGAGCTGGACGAGCTGCTATGAGCTGCCCTTCATGGATTCTGTGAACTAAACTTAGCCCTCTCAATTTTCATTTTTAGTTGATAGAAGTAATTTTGGGGAATCTGAAGATGTAATTCAACAGCAGAAAGCTTGCTAAACATGTGTGAGACCAAAGCTTTCATCAAATACCACAAAAAGGTAGGGTTTTTTGTTTGTTTGTTTGTTTGTTTGAGACACGACCTTATTCATCTCGGGATGGTCATAAGCTCAGTAGCCAAGGATACCCTTGAACTTCTAATCCACCCACATCTACCTCCTAAGTGCTTTGATTACATGCAATGCCACCATGTCAAGTTTTATGTGGTGTTGGGGTTTGAACCCGGGCTTCTTGCATTATACCAATTGAACCACATCCCCAACCCATTTAATTTTTATTTACTGTTTTGAGATGGGGTGTATGTTCTCCAGGTTGGTCTGGAACTTTGGGGCTCAGCCTTTGACACAGCTGGAGCTTTAGGCATGTGTCGGTGAGCTCTCCACGGGAACAGTCTTTTTTTTTTTTTTTTTTTAATCAGGAACACTGTTTTCTCTGTATAGCCAATTGTTATGTCCACAGTGAGGCTTTCCCTAACCTCACCCCAACAGGGAATTCATGACAGACCAAAGTAACAAGTCTACTCAAGTACAGCTTAGGGAACCAGTGAGTTTTTATTGGGTTACAGAAGCAGGGACGACTCACAGGCAGCTGTGTCAGGGAGCAACCCCCCAGTATGGGTGAAGACTCCAGGAAGCCACAGCTGGGGAGCACTCCCCGACTTGCAGGCAGCAGGACATAGAACACGTGGGTCAGAGCCTTTCCCTCTGTTTGTCAATAAGTGTTGCAGGATCCCTTGGGGGAGGAGCCCGGGTGAAGCTTGTTCAGTTCCAGCTTTCCCAGACTTGTGGCGTTTCTTTACTTCCCGAGTCTTGAGAGCCTCCTTCCTCCTTCCTGGAGAGAGGAAATTGCTATGTAATAAAAGGATTGTTTCTACACTCTCAGGCCAGGTAACATCTACATATGATTCACTCACTGAGACTCCCCATATTCTTTGTTGTTCTTTGGTTTTTTAATTTTTATTTTATGTGTATGAGTGTTCTGTCTGCATGTGTACCATGTGCACACCCGATACAAAGGCCAGAACAAGGTATTGGATTCCCTGGAACTGGGTGTACAGAAGTGAGCTGCTCTATGGGTGCTGGGAAACAGATTTGGGTCCTCTGGAAAAGCAGCCAGTACTCTTAATAGCTGAGTGATCTTTCCACCCCCCCTTGTTTGTTTTTATTTTTCTTTTGCGTTGTTTTTGAGACAGGGTCTCACTGTGTAGCCCTAGCTGGCCTAGACCTCACTATATAGACTAGCTACGCTTATAATTCACAGAGATCTGTCTGCCTCTGCTTTCTTAGTGCTGGGATTAAAGGTGTGCACCACAACTGGTGATCCCTATCTTTTAATCTTGGTGTTATACATAAAATATGCTTAATTCTCACTATTTTAAAAGTATGGTATTTTAGTAATTCTTTGATTGTGTGATTGACTCACACAAACAGTATATTTTGATTACATTAACTCCCCATTCTCCCAGTTCCCCCCAGACCCACCTACCACTCGCTGCCCTACCCCACGCATGCTAATTTCATGTACTCTTTCTTTCTTAATAATCTCCTGAGTCCAATTTGTGTTGTCTACGTACTTGAAGGTATGGGAACATCACTGGGTCATGGTTGACCTGCCAGGGCCACACCTTTAGAGAAATCGGACTTTAAAATCCATCGGCTCTCGATATCTTCAGCTACGGACGGACGGATGGACGGAGGCACCCGAGGCTCTCCCACATCCTGTAATGCTGACTGGCCTGATCCTTTGCAGGCAAACACAGTTGCTGTGAGTTCATGAGTGCAGGAGTCTTGTCGTGTCCAGAAGACTCTGCTATACTCTGGATTTCCCTGACCTTTGGCTCTTACATCAATCCTGAGGTGGTCCCTGAGTTTGAGGAGGAGGAGGAGGGGAGCCTAGTCCCATTATTCTGCTAAGTGGACATAGTATCAGACGGCCTCTAAATTTGTATTTTTCTACTCATAGATTTAGTATAGCTCTCAGGTCTCACCAGAGAAGGTCCTTTGTACGTGAATGAAGAAACAATGGGTCACAGTGCAAAGGATAAGTGTTTGTGGGGTGCTCCTCCAGGAATGCTGACCATTTTCTAGTCCTGCTTTGTTACCTGAAACTTCTTCCTTAGCACGCACTCCAGGAAACATTCCCAGAAACCACATCCCTGAATTGTTTCATGTTAGTGCTGCTTCTAAGCACCCTGCTTCTTTGTATTTCCTGTATATTTTAGACATCTATTTGTGTGCATGTGCACAGCATGTTCTGTGTGTGCACAGTGTGTGTGTATATAGGTCAGAGGACACATTTCAGGAATTTTCTGTTCTATCATGTGGGCCCTGGGATTGAACTTAGGTCTTGGTTTCTAGACTTTATTCACCAGCCATTGTGTTGGACCCTACTTTTAGTTTAAAAAAAAATTTTTTTTTTTTTTTGAGACAGTCTCACTGGTCTCCTGGTTGGCCTGGAACTCACTGTGTAGACCAGGCTGGTCTCAAACTCAAAAGAAATCTGCCTGCCAAAGCCTCTAGATATGGGCAACCATGCCTCGATGCTTTTCTGTTTTGTTTGTTTGTTTTCTGGCATGTGTTCACGTTCTAGGTTTCAAAAGGCCATTTCATGCCTGGTAGGTAATCTACTTTGATCACATCCCCTCACGCTTTCCCCCTCCTCTTGTGGACCCACCGCCCTTCCTGTTAGTCCCTTTGCCGCCTAGGCACTTTCTCCTCTGCTTCCACGTTGTATACACCATGATGGTTGATCTTGGTGGTCACTGTGACTGGGCAGCACTCTTGTGAGGGTTTTTCTTGATTAGATTGTTTAAAGTGGGAAGATTCACAGTAAACTGTCTGGATTTTGCTTAATTCATTTTGTACAATCATTTTAGGTTGTATCCTTTTTCCTATAAACAACACAGTTTTGTTCTTTTTTTATGGCTGAATAAAATTCCATTGTGTATTTATGCCACATTTTCTTTCGCATCCTCTGTTGGACACCTAGGTTGGTTCCATAACTTAGCTATTGTGAATTGTGCCAGAGTAAACACTGATGTCAGGCGTTTCTGTGATATGTTAGTGTAGAGTTTATTGGGTAAATACCCAGGAGTGGCACAGGTCATATGGTAGGTCAATTTTTTTTCTTTTGAGGAATCTCCACACTGATTTCCATGGTCACCGGACTTGTTCATATCCCCACCATCTTATACAAGTACCCATTTTCTCCTTATCCACATAGCATTTGTTATTTTTTTCTCTTTTTTCTCTGTTTGTCTCTCTGGCCCTGTCTCTGTGTCTTTGTGACTGTCTGTCTCTCTCCCCCCCCCCCCCAGTGTTTGACTATGTAGCCCTGGCTCATTTGGAACACACTGTGCAGATCAGGCTGGCCTTGAATTTACAGAGCTCTGCCTCTCTGCCCCCAGGTGCTGGGATTGAAGTTGTGCACCAACTGAATTGGCTGTTTTCTTCCTTCCTTCCTTCCTTCTTTCCTTTTTAAAAAGATTTAATTTTATTATGTGTATGTGAATTTTGCATGCCTGTATGTATGTGCATTCTGTGCATACCTGGTGCCCATACAAACAGAAGAGAGCATTGGGTCCCCTGGAAGTGGAGTTCAGGATAGGCTTGAGTTGCCACTTGAGTGTTGGGAACCAAATCCGAGTCTTCTGTAAGTGCTCTGAACCTCAGAACCACTCTCCAGCTCCTCCTTTTCTTTTCATTCCTCTTTCTCTTCCGCCTCCTCCTCTTCTCCTCTCCCTCCTCTTCTCTTTCTTCTTTTTTGTGTGTATGATGTGAGGACACATGCTTTCACATGTGCCAGTGTGGATGCTTTCATGTACAGGAGAGGACAGCCTCGCATGCTGGTCCTTGCCTTCCGCCTTTTGAAACAGAGTCTCTGTTGTTTGCTGGTCTGTAAGTTTCTAGGGCTTCTTTTGTCTCAGCCTCCCATCTCCCCACAAAAGCACCGGGGTTACAGGCACACGTCTACACTTGGCTTTGATATGAATTTGGGGGGTTTGAACTCAAATTCTTTACAGCAGCCACTCCAGCTCTTGGAATTTGTTTTCTTGATGATTGATAAAGTGAGCTAAAATCTTTTTTTTTTTTTTTTTTTTTTTTTCGAGACAGGGTTTCTCTGCGTAGCTTTGCGCCTTTCCTGGAGCTCACTTGGTAGCCCAGGCTGGCCTCGAACTCACAGAGATCCGCCTGGCTCTGCCTCCCGAGTGCTGGGATTAAAGGCGTGCGCCACCACCGCCCGGCGAGTGAGCTAAAATCTTAATGCAGTTAATTTGGATTTCTCTGATAGGTGGTGAAGTTGAATATTTGTTATAGTTTTTAAGCATTTATATTAATTTTGTGTGTATGCGTGCATGAGCCATGTGTATGCAGTACTATCAGAGGCCAGAAGAGGGAGGCAGATCCCCTGGAATGAGAGTTAAACAGTTACTGGTGCAGAGTGGGTGATCGGAATCAAACCTTCATCCACTACAAAAGGAGGAACCGTTTTTAGTTACTGAAACATCTCTCCACTCCCCATTTTTTTTTTTACTGGACATTTGTATTTCTGTTTTTGAGAATTATCTGCTCATTTTATTAGTCCATTTAAAATTTGAATTTATTTCACAATCTTATGCATGTATATAATGCATTCTGATTATTCTTGTTTAAAGTCCTTGTTACCTGTCATCTTACCCCTACAGATCCCTTTCCTATGTTCATTGTTTTCTTTTGTTTGTTGAGTAGAGAATTTATTCAGGGCTGTCTGAGTGACCATGGGTACAGAGCTATCCATTGGATCTTGGAGGGCTCAGCACAGGTACACAACTGAAGCCAGTTCTCTCAGAATCCGCCAGTAGCCCAAAGTTCCGCAAGGACAGGTAGGACCCTATCAGGCCCTCTTCCATCCAAGACTGATTGCTGATAAGCCCAGACTTGACATGACTGGCACAGACAGCCGCAGCTGCTGTGATATCACGACTGCCCTAGAGGTGAGATTCTGTCATTATCCAGCCCTGACTGGCCTGAAACTCATGGAGATCTTGACTGTGCCTCCCAAG